ACGATTGTTAGGTCTGGGTGAGCATCTCCCTCATGGTGTTCAACTTGATTTTTAGATTCACAACTGGTCTATCTAACTGGCTATGTGCAGCAAACATTAGGTTCTTTAGCATGATCCCTCTTAACAAATGGGTTTCTAGCAAATCAGACATATGTCTGGACCCTAACTGACTCGGCATCCTATAATTGTTGGGGAAGTCAATTTAAATCTAATTTAAAGACTGATTTAGAGTTGAAGTGTCTTTGGTTTTGGCTACCTTAACTGAGCTCCCCGATTTAGCAAAGGTTTGGGCGAACTCACCTTAATGCAAGTTATCCTTTTTGACTCGGCCCCAGTTTTTTTTAAGAAATACATAACCCATCAAATATGAAGTATGTAGAGACGAAACGCTTAAGTCAAGTCGTCTTTTGAATGTCTAAAAAGAACGCTCATTCTTTATAGTTCTGGAAATACAATATCTAGACTTAACCAAGAAAAATGAATAAAAAAAAAAAGAAAAACATTAAATCAAAATAGCACTTTCATTTGTGAGTTTCCTAAATCAAATCAAACAATAAAATACAATCAAATGTCTTGTTCCACTATATTCCATTCCCTTTACAAGTCGCCAAATTCCAAACGTAAAAACACGACTTGTTCAATAATTTCAAAATTTAACACGTAAGTCAAAGCTCATACGTGAACAAACCGTAGAATCTCATCTCAATTTATTCATTACGTTTAAAATAATAACAATTACTAATTAATCTATTCCTAAAATTTCCTAGTTTCGACTTTTAAGACTAGGATTTATTCTTCACCCAACGAAGCAAAATCAATGCATCTCTTTCACCTTCTATATTTTCCATGTTTTTGAATTGAAATTTCAAGTATAGGTCAGTGTCTCAAAAGAGTAGGTGACCACCATTCAAAACTAACTCTTCGTTGCTATATAAGAGCAGAAAAAAGGGGTTAAAATATAGTACAATTTAATAATGATACATTAATGATGTAAATATACTATATGGTTTTTTTAATCTAAATTCTTTACATTGATGATGTAAATAATGTTTTTTTATGTATTTATTTCGATGTAAGTAATTTTATTTAAAAAACTTCTCAACACTTAATATGGATACATTTATTGGTTAATGGAGAAAATTTTACCTAACATCTCGACACTTATCTTCCTACCTCTAAAATTTTGAAAATATTTCAAGTTTATTCTTTTTCTATTTTTTATTTTTATGTTTTATTTTTATTATTTTTACTATTTATCTTGGCACTTGTAAAATTGACAAGTGTGTATCTATTTCTATAAATCGGATAACAAGCGATGTAAAATTCTGATATATTTATTTTCTAAACTAGAACTCTTTGACGTATAACATTCGATTTACATTTTGTATTAACCGGTTAACTAGTGTGATTTAAATCTGGTTCGTTATTGATAACCAGATAACATAACTGTGTGTTTTCCGATTTACTATATTAACCAATCGAAAATCATTGATCAATGTATTCCGATTATGGTTTATGTACCAATCAGATTTCTGTTACATTGGTACGGTGTCTATTTTTTCTTTATTTTTTTTAATTTTTTTATTATGTTAAACATGTGATATTCTTTTGATATGCGATAAAAACCAGACATACATAGATACCACTGAAACATTTTCATGAATACAATGATTTGCTACAAAAGAAGAGGCGATAAGGTGGATTAGAGAGGTTGGAATCAGGAATAAAGTGATTGTTATAATAACTCGTTCAGATACCAAAACATGCAAGATATGAAGAAGTGATAAAGTAATATTTGGTTGTGATAAAAGTGGAAAATATAAAGAAGAAGATAGCGAAACACAAAGTGCTAGTAAGAAATGTGGTTGTCCTTTCAAAATTAGGTCAACATCGTCAAAAGATGGTTCTGGATGAAAGATTGATGTAAAATATGGACTTTATAACCATGAATTACCTAATACATTTGAAGGTCACGCGTTTGTAGGTCGACTAAATGCATATGAACAACAACATATTGTTGATTTAACAAAATGTCATATTCCAACAAGACACATATTGTTATCAGTGCAAGAGCGAGATCTAGAGAATGTCACTCGGATCACACAAATATATAAACATAAGAGTAAGATACAGAAAGACATAAGGGGTCCTAGAACGGAAATGCAACATCTGTTTAAGCTGGTAGAAGATTCAGATTATGTTTACTGGAGCAAGAAAAAAGATGAGTCGAAAGTTCTGAGAGATATTTTCTAGGCTCATCTAGAATCAGTGAAGTTGTTGAATATGTTTCCTATTGTGTTGATTATGGATAACACGTACAAGACAAACAAGTATAGGCAACCTCTTTTTGAAATAGTTGGTTTGACAACAACTGAGCAAACATTTGTTGTTGCATTTGCCTATATGGAATCAGAGTAGACAAAGAATTTTTAATGGGTATTGGATAAGTTGAAACAATTATTTACTAAGCATGGTTTTGGCCATAAGTGATTTTGACTGATAGAGATCTTGCTTTGATGAAAGTAATTGAAACAATATTTCCAAAGACAATTAGTTTGCTTTGTCGATTTCACATCAACAAAAATGTGAAAGCAAAGTGTAAGGAATGTTGTGGATGACATGCGAGAGTCGATAGAGAAAATATGGTATAAACTTATAAGGGCTAGTGATGAGGTGGAGTACCATCAACGGTTGCAACAGCTTAAGCATGCATGTGTTGACTTTAAAGCATTTATTGGTTATGTGAAAGATACATGGTTGACTCCGCATAGGCATAAATTTGTCGAAGCATGGATCAATCAAGTGTTGCATTTGGGAAACGCCACGACTAATAGGTATGATTATCTTGATATTACTTGATTTTAGTCATAGTTTGTTTTTATTAATATTACGTTTACTTACTTGTTTTTTATTTTATTTTAAGGGTTGAGTCCACACATTGGAAACTGGAGCACATGTTGGATAACAGTTTAGGTGATATGTGCAAATATTGAGAGGCTATGAATGGAAATCTCAAGATACAATTGGACAACATTAGAGCTTCAGTTCAGAAGAGTTTTTATGAAGTTGAGCATGCACACACTAGTCCATTTTACGGAAATTTGTGTGGATCGGTATCCAGATCTGTTTTGAGGCATATTGCTGAAGAGTGGGTGAGGGTTGACATTGTGGGTACAAACACACAAATTTGTGGATGTACTCATAGAAAAGTATATGGGTTACCTTGTACTTGTGAGTTAGGGAGATACACATTGAACGATGATCCAATACCAATTGAGGCTATTCACATCCATTGGAGAAAATTAAGTATGGCTATTCACCAAAAGAGACGTATCAGTCGGTCCTCCAAGGAAAGCTGACTGCATTGGACCTGCATCAGGCTGACGATGTCCTTCTATATCGTCTGCTGCCCGTCGACGTTGTCGTTCTTCAATCCTTCGCTGCATATTATTGTCGCTCGAGCCTCCTCTTATGCGAACCACTGAAAACAAATAAACAAATAAACAAATATGAATAATAAGAACCGGATAACGTATCCAAAGGTTATCCGAAATAATGAAACAAGAACCAGATAACAAGGCTAGACGTTATGCGATTGTAAATTATGAAAACTGGAGAACCCAGACTGTGTTATCCGGTGTGTTTTTTCTCTCGCATAAACCAAATTACTTATTGATAAGTTATTCGGAGTATCACGATGTAAACCGGATTTGAGGCACTTGTATTCTCCAGTTTCTGTTTTCAGGGAGTTGCTCTCTCAATCTTTTGAAGTGAAATTAAAAAAATGAAATTTTTTTAATATATTATTATTTATATAAAGATATTTTTGTCTAAAATTTTAGATATAGCCGAATAACAATAAAGATATAAGATAAAATTTTCATTAATAAATATTCAAATCTTAATTTGTCAGATTGTGAAAATCTAATTCGCATCCTTAAATAAAAAGTTATTTTGTTTAAATATAATTTTGACTTCACTAATAATCGTAACAATTGTTTAAATTTGTATAGTAATATAAATCTAAAATATATAATTCGTGTCCTTATATATATATATATATATATATATATATATATATATATATATATATATATATATATATATATATATATATATATATATATATATATATATATATATATATATATATATATATATATATATATATATATATATATATATATATATATATATAAATTAAAAGTTAGTAATTTTATCATGTTAACATTTTAATAAAGAATATTTAATTTACTTAATTTCAAAATTACTTTTTAATTTTTAAAAATAACTTTAAAATAAATTCTACTTTTTTCGAAAAGTTCCCATAAACATTATATTAAAACATCATTTTTAATTTATATAAAACTTATATTTATGTTTAATTAATGAAATTAGTGTTTAACTTTAAAAACAAAAACAAAACACTCTAAGAAAAACATGTACTGGTACTAACTTTTTCTTGTTGGTTCCTCTTGATCATTAATTACAGTTTCCTTGTTTCTCACTCTACCTTCAACTCTTCAATTCAATGCCAGCAATTTTACCCAAAACACCAACACAAATACAATTAGAGAGGGTAAACGGGCATACTCGTCCTGTTTAGGTATTTTCTACAAAAATCTGTAAAAAAATAAAATGGAGTGAGACAAGTATAGTTGAGGATGAGAGTCTAAAATTTAGATTTGTTCTGCAAAAAAGTGAGTGCAGGACGGGAAAAGCTCAGGAGTATTGTATCTTTTAGACCTAAAAATATAAAATTTTATGCTAATAATCATGTCTGCAAAAACCTATGAAAAAAACGGAACGGAACGGAACAATCATATTAGAAGGTGGAGCCTAAATTTTTAGTCTGTCTCACACTAAAGTACAAGTAAAAAAGACATACCCAACAGACCAGAACCGTATTGCCAAACCTAAATACAATAACATTACTATGAATGGAGTAGCTACACTACAACAATACTCCCAAAATTCAAAATTATAATAATAAGAAAAAGAAAAAACAACTTTTTAAAATCCTTTATATTTCCAAAATCCATCATAAACCAGACACTAATCAAAGGTTTCAAACATAAAAAACAAACAACATATTCAAGTGCTTTTCCTCTTACATTCATTCCTTCCACATATTCTTCTCTCTCTCTCTCTCTCTCTCTCTCTCTCTCTCTCTCTCTCTCTCTCTCTCTGCATAATCAATTACACCCATCATCCTTCCTTTACCCACGCCTGCTTAATTTGTGGCGCATGCTATGCCTCATTTTGCCTATGTTTGAATTTTCTGTAACACTCTCTGACTTCTCCACTATCTCTTTTTTATAATTCAAGTGCAAATTTCAATCTTATAAGTACTGTTCTTGAGTACTAAAGCTTCAAACTTTGACAAGTTTATTTGCTTTTCTTCTTTCCATCTTAATGGGTCTATTCCAATTTCTGTCAAAATTCAATCTTTAAGTACACTTGAGAGTTAAAGCTTCAAACTTTTATATCTTTTTGTGTTTTTCTTCATGTTTAATTTAATGGGTTTGTTCCAAATTCTTCGCTTTATATGAATTTCTCACTTCTCTGGGTTTTGAGCTTCCCAAAGGTGATACCTTTGGGGTTATATAAGTCTCAAAGTGATTGAATTTCAGCAGAAAATTTTGAAGGAAATTTGTAGCAGATATGGTTGCAGAACCTTGGATTGTAAAGATGGGTAACCAAGTAAGTTCAAATCTCAAACATGCTCTTCTTCTTGAAACTTTAACAAAGAAAAAACATAGTCAAAAAAAGTTAGAAAACAAAGAAACTATAGGGATTCTTTCTTTTGAAGTAGCAAATGTGATGTCAAAAACTGTTCACCTTCACAAATCACTTTCAGAGTCTGAGATCTCAAAGCTTAAAAATGAGATCTTGAACACTGAGGGTGTTAGGAATTTGGTTTCATCTGACGAGGGTTATCTTCTTGAGCTTGTTTTAGCAGAGAAGCTTGAAGAGTTGAGCCGTGTTGCTAGTGTTGTTTCTAGGTTAGGGAAGAAGTGTTGTGAGCCAGCTTTACAAGGGTTTGAGCATGTTTATGGTGACATTGTTGGTGGTGTTATAGATGTGAAGGAATTGGGGTTTTTGGTTAAGCATATGGAGGGAATGGTGAGGAAAATGGATAGGTATGTTAATGTTACTATGAATTTGTATAGTGAAATGGAGGTTTTGAGTGAGTTGGAACAAGGTGTTAAGAAGTTTCAGAATAATCAGCATGTGGAGAGTAAGAAAGCTTTTGAGCAGAAGCTCATATGGCAGAAGCAAGATGTGAGACATCTTAAGGATGTTTCTCTTTGGAATCAAACATTTGATAAGGTTGTTGAGTTGTTAGCTAGGACAGTTTGTACTATTTATGCGAGAATTTCTTTGATTTTCGGCGATACCGCTTTGAGGAAGAATAGCCTTGGATCGCCGCTTATGCAAAATGAATGTGGGTTTGTTTCGGGTAATCTTAGTGTTCAGATGAGTTCTGGGAGCTTGAAACGCAACACGAGTAAGAGAAACGGTTCGACTGCAAATGTGCCTGCGGTTGAGAGAAGGGGAACAGCTACTAGTAAGCCACAGTGTGAAACGAGGAGAGGTGAATTTGCGTCTCTTGGGCCCGAAGATTTTGGTTTTCCGTGTGGAACAAGTCCGGGGAGACTTTTTATGGAGTGTCTAAGTTTGAGTAGCTCGGTTGGAAAATTCGATGATACCGATGATGGTTATGTTATCAATCATGAGGATCAGTACAGTCACGTATCTAGTAGTCACAGCGGTGTAATTGCGAATCATAGCATGAAAAGGGAGCATTTGTTCCATTCAAGTGTACTAAGTCATGTTCAAAGCAGTGTTTCGTTCACCGGAGAATTACGACAAGCTAAATCCGGTGTACAAAGTTGCTCGACATTTAGTCCGAAAAGTAGGTTAGTTTTTTACGCTCCTCCTACGACTCTCGGTGGCTCGGCTCTTGCATTACACTATGCCAATGTGATAATTGTCATAGAGAAGCTTCTTCGCTACCCGCATTTAGTCGGCGAGGAAGCCAGGGATGATCTATACCAGATGCTACCAACGAGCGTAAGGTTATCTCTTAAGGCGAAACTGAAGTCATACGCCAAAGATTTGGCGATATACGACGCGCCTCTTGCGCATGACTGGAAGGAGAATCTCGATGGAATACTTCGGTGGCTTGCACCTCTTGCGCATAACATGATGAGATGGCAGAGCGAGCGTAATTTCGAGCAGCATCAGATTGTTAGCAGGACTAATGTCCTGTTACTTCAGACATTGTATTTCGCCAACCGTGAAAAGACAGAGGAGTCAATCTGCGATCTTCTTGTCGGGTTGAATTATATATGCCGTTACGAACAACAGCAAAATGCATTATTGGATTGTGCAAGCAGTTTTGATTTTGAAGATTGCATGGAGTGGCAATTGCAATGTGGAGCTTCTTTTCTCAATTGAGTTTATAAGTTTTGGAAATCCACAATTTGGTGAGCATTTTATTCATTTTGAAAAGTATGATTGTATTTAATTAAAATTATAATTTTACTTTATGCAATACATAAGCATTCAAAAGTGTTCATGTTGAACTTGTAAATAAGTTTATATATAGATTGCATGTTGTTTAGAATTATTGTCATGAATAGAAAAGAATCTAGCATTGGTATTTTAGGTTAATCCTCAACATGGTCTTGATTTATTGGATTCATAGCATCTTTTGTTATGTTTGTTAAGAATATTTTTGAACTCTTGAAGTTGATGCTTTGGTGTTTTCTCACTACTCTTCATCGACCAAACATGTTACTTTGTTTCCATTATTATCATGTTGGACAAGTCTGTCCTCTAATCATGTAGTAGACAAAATGAGATTACCATATTCATGAAATGAGGGACCTATGGTTTAAATGTTGTGTTTAATCTTCTCTAGTAAAGTAGAAAAATAAAATAAAGTAGTGCTATATTGACTTGAAATGGAACACATTAGCTACCATTATGTCATATGTGATATTCATTTTTAATTGTAACAAATTTTATAACCCATGGGACCAACCGAGGGGTCCATGATGGTGAAGACTTAATTTGATTTTTATTAGGGTTAATAATTTGTGTTGGAATTAAGGGTGATAAAATAAGTCTCGTGCGTCGGACATGTCTATTTTATCTGTACAGGCTGACTAAAATTTTAACATCAAATTTTTTAATATATTTGTTCCGTTTTTTTCCAGGCTTTTTCAGACATAGAGATTAATATAATTTATTTTATAGTTTTTATGTTTTAAAAGTACAACGTGGTTCGCCTTACCCTAATTTTTTAATAGAATATATTAAAATTTTAGGTATATGCTCTTAACTATGTTTATCTTGTCCCGTTTTTTACAGTTTTTGTAGGATGAAATTAACCGATAATGGAATTAATCTTTTTGGATTAGTTTTTTAGAAAACAAATTTCATTTTTTGTTGCACTCATATGTGGAAGGCAATGTTATTTATTGTGAGCTAAAAATGAAAAGATAAAAAGTCAAATGTTTTTCTTGATTTAGTTATTTCCAATAGTAAGAAGAGAACAAAAATGAAGATGGTGAGATTTTAATTTAAGATAGCAAACTACCTTGTCAGATTAATTAATAATATTTACCAAATTCAGTTAGAAAAGTAGGAACCATAATGTGGCATAAACAATGAGGTAGAAGAGGGCATTCATTTTTGCAATAAAGGGCTTCTAAATATTTTGTGTGTTAGTTGGGTGTTATTAATCTTTGTGGGGGTGTTTGTGGTTGGTTTTTTTCCTTCCACTTTCTTTATGAGTTATTACTGGCTTTTCATTGTGTGGCTCACAATATTAAGGTCCACACTATTAGAGTCTTTTGATGGTAAATTGTTTTTTTTTTTTTACAAAATAGGATAATATATTGTAAAAATAAATTTCATGAACCAACATGAGATAAGCTAAGGGTATGTTGTGTTTCTAAAAATATTCTGTTTTTATTTTATAAAATTTGTATTTGTTATTTATTGTTAATAAGTAGAAGAAAGAAAACTCATTTAGAAAAAAAATGAGATAGCCACACGATGAAAGCAAGTTATAATATAGTGTGTTTTTTAAATGGGTTAAATATTATTGTGGTCTTTTTAAATATTTTAAATTTTTATTTTTAGTTTTTTTAAATATTTTTTTAAAGAATATTTTTTCTAAAATATTTCATGTCTATTTTTAGTTTTTAATACTAAAATCGCCGTTAAAAATATCGTTAATTCAATCATTAAATAATAAATTATCATTAAAACTGTTAATAATTCAGTTGTTAAATTGTAAAAATTTCTACTAAATTATAGGAGGGACTAATAATGGATGAAAATTATTAAAAAAAACCATTTATTTAAAAATTATTACAAATATATTTAACCTTTTTAAAATTAGGTAATGCTTTTAATATAAGAGGGGGTGATAATTTAACGGTACAAGTTTAACTTTGTATCCTCTTAAGCCAACTACTCTCAATTGGTAGTTTAGTAGAGATATTCAATTATATGAGCATGGATTCAAATTATTTTACTTATTTATATAATTCTTTTAAATTAATATTTTCCCCTTTTCCACTTTTTTCCTGTTTAAAAAAAGAGTAATACTTTCAAAAAAAATTATAATGGACCGTTGAACAGTTCCCCATGTATCTACTAGAGGAACGTGACTTATACGTTTCCATAACGTCATTATCCTGTCTTCCGAGAATAACGAATCCAACTTTCCTATTTTCTCGGGACAGTTGATCAAGGAGGAGGCCACATGCTAGACTTCATACACCCGTAAATTCTGACAGTCTTCATTATTGGGTCTTATCGTAGCCTAACACTGGAGACCTTGGCCCAGCACTGAGGGCTATAAAAACCCTCTCACTTGAGAGGGTCAGGTATTCATTCTTTCATCCATACTCTCACACTTTACTTGCATTTGCTCTGAACCTTACATTGGCATCAGAGTGTCTTGCAGGTACTCCTACTTCACATTCAACCATTGCTCGATTCAAGTTCGTGGGCCTTGACGATCCCTTATGGTCAGGTACGATTAGTATCGTCGTCTGTGGGAAACCAGCTTCCCCGTCTTTCTTTTACCTAAGACCAAAGCAACTCAACTTTCTGATCGTCATGTCCGACCAAGTCAACAATGGTGACCAAAATGTTATTTTTTCCAACCCTGGCAACAACAATGATGCTGCCGGTCACGAGCTCGACATCAAGGATGGGCTGACTGCGTCCTCCTCCACTCGGTCGCAACTGCACGATAATGCCGATCCTCCCCGATAAAACTATGAGACCGTTGT